TTATTTCCACTTTCTCCCCGCGACTCCCCGTGTGATAACGTCCTATGGATCAGCTGGCCTTGTCTCCCGGAGCATGTGCTGTGATGGTGAGAAGGAGGAGGGAAGGTTGACATGACAACCTCTTCTGTGCCTTGTCTGCCTGAGGGACCGCTGGGCATGAGAGCCCTTGAACATCCTCCATCCTATGTGGAGTGCTTCTGTACAATGCTCCCCTTGTCTTCCTTGAAGCCAGTCCTGCTCCTGGTGCACCTGTACTCCCCAGGGATAGCAAGCTGTCATTTCAGCCTCCTCCCCAACAGCAGCTGAGCTCCTAACAGTTCCCACTCTCAGCAGCTGTCTTTTTGCCATTCCTCTGTTGCTCTTTGAGCCCCACTGGCATGCTTCTTCTGTTTCATTTAATGTCCATTTCCTTTGCCTTCGTATCCAACATTTGCAAGGGTCATTCCATTTTCCGTCTTCCCTCAGCTTTTGCTTTTTTAAATTTTATTACATCCATCAGCAACTGAGATTTTTGAGGACAGTGCTGCTATTAATGCAGGCCACTGCTGCCTCTGTTGATGTGGGTTTTTACAGAGTGGACTTTTTCTTGGGACGTACAAAAACAAATGGCAGTACTTGCCCATAGGGAATCCATACTTGCCCATAGAGAAACCATGCTTGCCCATAGAGAACCATTGCAGAAGACATGCTCATAAGGAAACATAGGGGAATACTTGCCCATAGAAAATCATTGAGGAATACTTGTCCATAGGGAAACATTGAACGCTTGCCCAGTGTTTCTCTATGGGCAAGTATGATTTCCCTATAGGCAAGTAATGTCATTTGTTTTAGTATGTCCTCTTTTTATTTCTTCTTTTACATTCCTGGTGGATGTAGGAAGTAAGGCTTGTTTCTATTTGTTTCTTCCCTGCATTCAGCTGCTGCTTGACTGAAACAGCTGAAGTGTGTCTGTGGCTCAATCATAATCACACTTTCTAGACATACAGCTCTATGAACTTGCTCTGTGAACTGTAAGCCTAATACCACTTTTTCCCAAGGAAGAAGTTGTCAGTATTGTGTGCTGGTTTGCCATATTTTCCTTCTCCCTCTATCCCATGTTTCCAGTGAAATGCTTCTTTTCAGTAGGTTTAATATGCCTAATTTCAGTCAAGAGAATGTTTCAGGTCAAAACTTTTGTAACAAGTAGTTTTTTGCTCTTTCACTGTTAGTGCCTTGGAGCAGAGGGTATGATTCAGAAAAAATAAATAAATACATTTAACTCTTGAGTTTAGTGGTAGACTCAAGCTGCAGTGCTGTATGCATTTACCTGTACAGACATGTTTCATATGATGTAACTATGATGTTACAGACTGATTTGATACTTTTTTTTGTCTGAACAAATTCCCTGTTTATTTTTGTGTGATTTACTCATAAGTAAATGTGTCTAAGGCAGGGGTAGGCAACCTAAGGCCCAGGGGCCGGATGCAGCCCTCCAGGCCAGTCCTGCCACCGCCGCCCACTATGATAATATTGATTATTGTTGTTATTACTTGTTCTTGGGGTTTTCTTGGCAAAATCTCCACAGGGGTTTTGCCATGGCTCTTCTGGGGCTGAGAGAGTGCGCATGCATATATATTTTTATTTTTAAATATTTATTTATTTATTTATTTTTGGTGCTTCGGACCCCCAATTGTCTGAGGGACAGCAACCCGGCCCCCAGCTCAAAAAGGTTGCCTACCCCTGATCTAAGGGCTACAACTCTAAATGGTTTACTGAAACTTGTTGCTGTGTACCTTCAAATGGTTTCTGGTTTATGGCGACACTATCATGGGGGTTTCATTCAACATTTGTTTAGAGGTATGCCATTGCCTTCCCCTGAAACCAGCAGTTTCACTGCCTAGTCATTGGAAAGCTCTCTCATCCTATGTGACATAATTTATATTGAATTCAAAGATATAGCCATATTAATCTGTAGAATCAGTACGTAGAGAGATCTTGTAGCACCTTTGAAATTGACTGAAATAAAGAAGTTGGTAGCCTGAGCTTTCATAGACTTGAGCCTTCTTCCTCAGGTGTACGCCACCTCTTTCCATAATAATTTATATTGCATTTTGTTGATATGTTGTTAGAATATTGTAATGATAAATAAAAATCATAGTAATTTAGTGTGAGTCATCACTAATACACCTATTTTATTAAGTGACATATATAGTGTAGGAAGAACTGTATTGGAGTATTTTGAAACTAGTTGTTGATAGCTTGAGATGCATGTTTCATATATAGGAAATGCATATATAGATGCATTTATTTATTCATTTAATTTTTGCTTTTCAAACATCTAATTAACAGGGCTGGCATCTTGAATGTCATTGCAATCCTTAATTTCTGTGAGATACTCCTATACATTCATTCTTCCACATTCACTAGAGTTAGGGGCACAGGAATGTGGAAAAACCGCAAATAACAAAAACACTAAGTTTTTCCTGAGAGAACACCTCTCTAGGAATCTCTAGGTCCTCCAGTGGTCAACATCTTCCACTAATGCCTAGTGGGGTGTTTTCTCTAGGTCCTTCAGTGTGACTTTTGGTTAAAGTTGACCATAGAGTTGCTGTGGAGGACCCTAGATATTCCTAAAGAGAACATATTAATAAAATCCGTGCATAATCAAACCCACAAAAGGCAAAGCTCCAAATGTGGAGGGATGAATGTATATAATTCCAAGCATGATTGCAGCCATGCGAATGCTAACTGCATTTTTGTGTCTACAATGCAAATGTTAGGTGGTTTACATTAAAAAAGACTGCCATCTGTAAAAAGTTATTATCAGCATTCTAAACAATGTGTTTCATTAGCTGTAGCATTGGTTTAAGGGGAGAAGTGTTTGTATGTTTAGTCTAAAGTACTGTAGTTTCCCCTCATGTGAGTTTCATAATGAGCCACTTCTTTTCTCTATCTGGATGAACCATTGGAAATCAATATTTTGTTGTGAAATGTATTTCAGAACATGAAGTGATGCCTGCTGAGCACCTTAGGTGCTAGTGTGAGAAAGTATAAATTGCTGATATTTTAAGATATATTGTTTACATTGGCATTGCTTTATCTTCCTCCCATTTGTTGATCCCCCCCCCCCATGCTGAAAATATCTTTCAGTAATGCTGTGAAAGTATGAATGTGGCTTGTAGGATAGGTTTTAATTAGTAGAGATACCTCCGGCTTTCCTATTTATTTGTAAAAGTCTAAATATGAAAAATTGAATACTGTAATCCTAGCTGTAATTGCATCTTAAATAAATGAAGCTAGTATGATTCACATATATAAAGCCACTACAATTCAATCATGGTGATTTATGAA